CAGATGCCTGGAAGTTTGGTTTAATCTACCGTCTCAACTAAACATCTCTCTTGGATTCAACCTCATCATTCACCAGGATTTCAGACCAAACCAAACAGACCAATTCAGGTCTGAGGTTTACCAGACAAAGCCAGTCCAAAAAAAGCACATCTATTCGGATGCCAAGTGTATGTTCCCAGGATGCTGTGTTCCAGGCATGAAGTGCATAAACAGGTGCCAATTTGGCGAGCCTTGCCAGGTGCTGACAACGCAGTCCCAGACCAGCTTACCACAACACAAAATTCAACCTCTGCTCATTTTTAGATGCGCTGACAGTGTTTTACGGTGACAAAACAGCAAGAACTCAGTGTTTTGGTGTTTGGAAATTCCTGAAACGTACCTTAAGGAGACTTCTGTGGTTACAGCTACACTCCTGTGAGTCAAGGTAAGATTAATATGTGGAATTCTCATCGTCATGGGTGGGCATCTCAGTGGGAGTCAGTAGGGGCACTGGTGAAAATGGAGGTGCTAATCTTTAATATTCTTTTCATTCAGCACTCAGAGTCTTTTCCTAGGGCCGAGAATAATGTTTGAGGTGTTAATTAGAGCTTTGGGACACTCTGGTACTAAGCAGAAGAGGATGAAAGACACCGATTAGAAGTGAATAATCCAGCCCAACTGATTTCAATACACCCTGACAGTGTTACACCGGATTACTGCTCTTAAAAATGCCCTTGTGTCTGTTTGTTTTGTCATGTTGGGAAGTGTTGTGAAAGTCCTTGTCATGATTGTGGCCTTCTGTTTGCTAAATCTAAAGAACACCGCGCGAATGTCACTTTCTAAGACAAATTTTGGGGATTGTAAAATATTTTTCATTGGAGGGCAGTCTTGGACTGCTTAGTGTGTCATGCTCACCTACGGACCATTAATTGCCTTCATCTAATCATGGACTCCTACGGATTTCTGGGAAAATTGTATGTCACAGTCCTGCAGTGTGACTGGTCCTGCGGCTGCCATCTAATGAAGAACCAATCAACAACCAGCAAGCAATACATGATGGCTCACATCACACAGTCTGCCTGGGGTCACATTGTATGTGAGAAACAACGATCGTAAAGGACAAAAAAAAAAAGAAAAGAAAGTACACTACTGTTCAAAAGTTTGGGTCAAAAAAAGAAAAGAAAGTACACTACTGTTCAAAAGTTTGGGTCATTAAAATTAAAAGTTTTGAAAGTCTCTTATGCGCACCAAGGCTATATTTATTTGTAAAAAAAAAAAAAGTAATACTGTGGGATATTATTATAATTTAAAATAACAGTTTTCTAATTAAATATGTTTTAAAATGTAATTTATTCCTGTGTTAGCAAAGCTGAATTTTCAGCATTATCAAATCATTTTAATATGCTAATTTGCTGCTAAAATTTGTTATTATTATCATCAATATTAAAAACAGGCATTAACCGTGTAAATCAATTCCATGTTGTCTTTATAGGTGAAGTGTGTAATTTCTATGCCATTGGCTTCAAAAAGCTAGTGCCAGTTTTCCCAATACTACCCCCAACTGCGATGGGTAAGCCAAACAGATAGTTCAGATAGAAAATGTTGCTATGGTTTACCACAGAAACAGTGTTCACAATTTTCATCCTACAGAAAGCATTTAACTTATTAAATTACACACATCACCTTTAACCAGTCGCAGCAGATGAAAAGTTTGAAGATGCACAGCAATCAATTAGCAAACAACACATGAACTGGCCTCAGCGGTTCCACTTCCATTTGCACAATTAGACCAGTGTGCAGCTGCTCTTGCCATTGCAAACAAACATCCCAATCACAGTTTCTTAATTGTAGCAAGTCGTTTTTTTCCTCTCTTTTTAATGCTGTAATTTACTGCGACAAAAGGGAACAGTGCCTATGAAAGTGCCGACAAAAACAACTCTGTTACTCGCCGAGCGCGAACACACACGTACCAAGGCGAGACCATGCCGTGCCACTGCAGGCAGATGGTACACAGGTAAAATCGCCATCTGAGGTGAGTGTGTGTATAGTATATAGTCTTGTGCATTATTCATGAGGAGAGCAGGTGGTTTAGAGGAGTCAATCGCTGATAGCGTCTCACTCATTCTGTACACATAGGCCTCATTTCATCTACCTGACTCCAAATATTTGCAGTGATAGTTTTTCTTCTCAGAAAAATGAGGTGGACCTCTGGGAGAGCTAACAAATGTCACATTCAGATCTATTGCACAGGCAAGATTTTCATTTTTGCACAGTGTTGGGAGAGCAAGTAGCTAAACATAGCAAAGCTGTTCTCATACAGGGTGACCACACGTCTTCTTTTCCCCAGACATGCCCTGGATGGGATTTCTAAATTGCCAAAAATGTCCGGGGTTTTTTATAGACCTTAGTCAGGTTAGACGTCATATTCAATTTAAGGCGGATGAAAATAAGGCTGTGAGGGATAGACTTAGTCTTTACAATGGCACGCACTGTATAAAAGTCCTAGATCATGTAATTTTTACAACTCACAACTTTCAAAACTGTTCTATGAAGTTTTTGTCGACTAAGTTTTTTTTTTTTTGTCAGCTGAACAATCAGTGTGTTATAAAACCAATAGCATGCAGGCATTGTACATAATCAACCAATCCTAGTGTGCGAGAAGGTGGGATCTACAAAATGAGGACTGTGGAGAGCATGTCAATATGAAAACAAAGGCAAAACCTTTACATTTTAGGCAATTTAGAAATTAGGACATGTCCGGGAAAAAGAGGACTTGTGGTCTCAAAACTGTAGCGGTGTGGATTACAAAACAATACATTGGTGTAATTTTGCCACTTTTTTTTATTGTGCCCACTGCTGTGTCTCACTGTTAAATGCGGTTTTTGCAACAATGGATACATTGAATGCAACAGTGATACTGCAACAGCTGGCTATAGTGGAGTTGAATAAATACGTTTGAACTGATTGACTGTGTGTGCAAGTATTTGTTTGTGGGTAATCAAAGAAATCTCACTTCCCTATGGCATACCAAGTTATACATAACCTTTGTGAACTTCCCCTTGTAAATATTTCACTGCTTCTCTCTGAACCACTTAAAGGTGACATATTATATCAGAAGTTTAAACTCATATGGTTTAAAAAGCATGATTTCAGCATGATAAAACATGATAATCAGAATCAAAACAGATGTTTTTTAGCAGGTCCGAGCTGTAAATGCGCAGCTCTATTCTGGAAAAGGGGGCGGGGAGCAGCAGCTCATTTGCATTTAAAGAGACAGGCCCGAAAAACAGCGTGTTTCTGCTTCCACTCAAAATAGGCATTTTCAAAATGATATAATAAATGATCTGTGGAGTATTTTGAGCTGAAACGTCACAGACACATTCTGGGGACACCAGAGACTTATATTACATATTGTAAAAAGGGGCATAATATGTCTCCTTTAAGTGAAAGCATCTTTTAAATGTAATGTCTAACTACATGGCAAACAGCAACCGTGAAATTATACAGCCTCGGTCTGAAGGACACACTGTCACAATAAACCAAACGAATACAGCCGTAAACCACGGGGTCAGTTTAATGCTGTGCATTCAGTAAACATCTAAGATAAAAATGCCTTGTACAATGCAAGCTCAGGCTTGGAGATGCATCCTTAAAATTGCCACATTATTGTTGGTTTCTTCAATTTTCTTCACTGAAAAATTGGAATGCATGTTTATGTGCTGCTTTAGGTCTTACTATGCTAAATTATTTTATTTAACACCAGCTACGTCTATAAACTATAGTTACTATAAAAATCACAATTATGGTTTGTGTTTTTAAAAGTAAATAATACAATTAAATATTAAAAAGAGAAGAAAAATTTTTGGAGTCTATGAATTCATCAAATACATCAGGGAAATATTTATATTCAGACAACCTTAAAATAATATATACAGCCATAAATTATCCTAAATACAAACAAACAAATCAATGTATTGTTGGCAGAGAGATGGCAGTGAGGAAAAGCACCTTCCTTTTGCCTGCTGCAACAAATGCAACAAGGTGAGATCTGAAGCGTTGTGTTTGTGTAAATATCATATGACACCAGAGCGAGACAGAATCTTACTGAAAAGGGACAGAAAATCTGCGTAGACCTCTACCTGCAGGTCTTTTTATTTAAAAATCCATCTGTGCATACCTCTAGTCCTGTCTTGGACATGCAAAATCTGTCAATGTGCTGACCACAAGTTTGCTATGTTGCATGCCGCTATGTGGTTGCTAGGGTGACAATATTGTGTCTTAAATTTTAGACACAATATTGCCATTTCCTTTGTTTGATTTTACTCCACCAATGAAAAAATTTTCAAAGAAAGTCAGAACTGCATCTCAAAGGAACACACAGTAATGGTGTTTGTTTAGCTCCTGAATGAATCTGTTGAATGAGCAATTCAATGACTTACTAATATGAAAGAATGGGCCGAATGATTCAATGTTTTTGAATGAATGGGTTAAATGAATGATTAAATGACTCACTCATATGAATGAATCAGTGTTGTGAATGAATAATTCAGTGACTCACTTTAGAGGTCACTTATCGCCACCTACTAGCGAAATGACACAACCTGCAGAGAGAGTGACTGAAAAATACACAGACTAACAGTCTGTCTGAAACAAACACAGACAAGTGGAGTGATACAAACAAATGTCCATATCATTATTTTTTAGAGCTATTTCACACTAAGTTTAGCCATGCTACAAGTCACTACATGCGGCTAAGCTCTGTGCAGCACTGAAGTTCAGAAGCTTTCCTGTTAGTTGGAAAAGAAGAAAGGATGGCATAGGAAGTAAAGCAAAGGGAGGGAGAGGGGCAGTAAAGAGAAGGGCAGTAAATAGCAAAAATAATGGCCGTGTGGAAAGGAACAGGATGGTGGTACTGCCTGCCTGGCTCATAGCAGTGATAAGGCAGCTATCTCAGCTCAGCTTATTGGGAACAGTGTCTCCCCATTTATCAAGCAGCAGGGATGATGGAGGATCCAACTCACCTCTCACTTTGTTTTTCGTTGCCGCCACTGGAATCGAATAGCGTGATGGGGAGGGGAAGGATGGAGAGGATGGAGGGAAGGAAGAAAGGAAGACAGGGAAGGACAGACAGGTTCAGAGGGAGAGAAAGAGAAGGACAGGAGGAGAAAACATTCGATTAGAACAGGCCAGTTTCAAGAAGGTGTAAACTGTGTCAAACTAGCATACTAATCTCGTATCTCATTTGTATCTGTCTGATTCACAACAATGAGCCACTTTAAATGGAAAGGCATTCAAGAGCGCTTGTCATTTGCAAACACCATCCACTATGAACTATACAGAGATTCACAATATACTAGCGGAAATATTCAACCACACAGGTAGACAGGCCTGTGCCTCTATACATGTTCACAAATTCCTGATACACTCATATGTGACACTCTCTGCCAGCATCTACAGTATATACAGTACAGCACTTTCCACCAGTACGGTATAAAATAGGGTTCAAAACTCCTTTTCTTTGCTAAAGGTTCACAACATGATGATCATCAATCTCAAGACGTCAGACTACATATTATATATATATCGAGAAAAAAAACATTTTATTTTTATTTTATTAAATTATAAAAACCTTGATTTAATTCAGCTTTAAATGAACAATAAAATAAATGGAACAAATCTATACAATTATCAAAATGAATACACAAATAAAAATATAACAGAATGGGCTTAATAGTGTGTGCAGAATGTTGTTTTATTGGTTAACATATGTATAAAAGTATTTATGTGATAATTTTTCTTACAGTAACTTAGATGAATGACAAAATTACAATGTAAAAATGGAAAAAATGGAAACAATATATTTTTTACTTGTCTCCTCAACATGAAGAAAGAGATTTTCTTCTTGTGTAAGAATTTCAATGATTGTTACTTTTTTCCCCACAAATAACAATAACATACAAATTATCAACAAAATTACATTACATCAAAATTACAAATAATGTACATAATCCTTAAATCCCTAAGATACAATTTTTCAATAAAAAATAATATTAATAATAATAAAACAAATAACTTGTAGTTATTTTTATTTGTTTTTGAAGATATTAAAATATTGCATTTATTGTAATGGGAAGTTACAAAATAAATATAGCATACAGCTAAACATGTTTTTAAGTAATTGCAGTTACTTTGCAATTACTGTAATTACGATAAATATTATTTATTTTTTTTGTAATTGAAATTACATTGTAATTGAAATATTTTTAACACAATTAATTGAAAACCAGCTCAACAGATTATGTCGGATACAGTCTATAATGTCAAGAATGTCACATTTGCAATTACTGTAATTACGATAAATATTATTTATTTTTTTTGTAATTTAAATTAAATTACATGAAATATTTTTAACACAATTAATTGAAAACCAGCTCAACAGATTATGTCGGATACAGTCTAGAATGTCAAGAATGTCACAAAAAAAAAGGGATTTAATGCTTTTCTTTTTTTTTATTTATGGGACACCAAGTGTACAGTATTCATGGAAAACCTGCTTTTGTAAAACTAAGATTGACAGCGCTATGAGCACAAGAAAAGAGTTGGATTGTTTTGTGGAATCTGTGTTGGTCTGTCTCAGACGAGTAGAGCCACAATCCTCTGTTATGTTATTGCTTGTTGAATGGCTATTGATCAGACCAAAGAGCTTTCTTCTACAGACTCTTAGCCAGACACAACAAGCTATCCATGCCCACTGCCCATCTTCTGACATCTTCTGCACCAGAAGCATCCACTCAAACAAAGCTATCCATTTATTAAAGCTGAGTGCTTATAATGCCCAGTTATTGTATACAACACAATAACAAGACGCAATACTATAGACTGAAGCTGAAAATGGCTCCTAAATGTTTCAAATAACACTTTCCACTGAAAACAAGTGTCTGATGACAAAGCAAGTGGCAGTGTGGTGCATTTCTATACATTTAATGTGTATTTCTATGAGTTTTACATCAGACAGTCAGACGCTGGTGGGGTTAGGGGTCTTTCTGATAATTGCTGCAATCAGGAGGGAAGTGTGCACTCTTTGAAATTCGATTGGCTTAGTTCAAAGACGGTGAACGATGAAACTTGAAGCCAAGTGTGTGTTAAAAGTCTAAGAGGAAAGAAATCAAAAGGAAAGGAAACTTCACAAATCTTTCAGCTTCGCCCTCTGAGCAGAATCCAAAAGTGTTATCCTGAAATTCATCTCACAGTGAACTGTGAATCATTTGTTATTGCTCTGAAGGCATAAATACATCCATTGGTTCTACTTGCCTTCCAAAACTAGAAAATAGACAGGATAAAATAAACTAATATTCCCCCTAAACTCTGGTCACAGGAATCAAATGTATCTAAAAGTCTGATCTGCCTTTGGGTGTCAATAAACCGTAGTACCATTTCAATGCAATGTGATCTGAACCACTATTTAAATGTCTTGAACCAACACACTCTCATGACAGTTCGTAACTATTTTAAATTTTGGCGAATTGGTCGCTATTTCATATGAATTTGTACACTGAATCTTCCCCACTGATGGTTAGGCTTAGGGGTTTTTATGCTTGCTTTTTCCCCCTAAAAAATGTTAGAAATCAAATCATACGAATTTTTGATAAATTTATGCTGATGCATTTAGCATACACTTATTTTTTTATTCAAAGCCACTCCATAGCATTCTTGCTTTCTCTGGGAATCGAACCCATGACCTTGGCGTTTCTAGCACCATGTTCTACAGGAAGGAAATTGCCATCTTGTAAAATAGTTACATTTCTTCATAAGACCTGATTGCTTATACACATTCACGAGGGTACAAAATTAAGATTTTGTTTAGTTCTGCTCTAAAGTTGGAAAAATATAACCCAAATTTTCATCAAAATGAAAAGAAGTGGCTATGAAGTCAAGAAGTGGCCCTCCATGTGGAGATTTGCTGAGGGCCTTCCACTTTAAACTAGTGCTGTCAAATGATTAATCGTGATTAATCACATCCAAAATAAAAGTTTGTGTTTACATAATATATGTGTGTATGTTTGTGTATTTATATATACATCATAAATATACATGATATACACACACATACAGTATTTTGTAAACAAAAACTTTTATTTTGGATGTGATTAATCGCGATTAATCATTTGACAGCACTACTTTAAACCCATCGTTGGTTGAATGTTTGAGTCTTTGAGTTCAGGCCTCGGTTGAAATCATGGCAAAGTTTTGAGTGACAGCGACTAAGCAGCATTACACGAGTCTGTATGTGTAGGAGGAGAAATAGGAAGGGAAGGAAGGAGAAAGGGTGACAAAAAGCCAAAAAGGTGATAAATCCCAATATGCCATTTTGAGAATTCTGGCCATCAGTGAATAATTCAACACACTGGCATTATTTATGCTGGGAAAAGCTCAGATCAAGAGGCCGAGATCTTCAGTACCACGCTTGACAACTTGTAGGTGACTAAATATCAGCCGTGCGCGATACACACTACACCAAACCTGCAACAGCGTCCAAACACATGCACTAAAAACAATGAAGGATGTCCCGGTTGGGCTAGTTTGTGTGCAGATGATTTATCGACTCAGTTGAGAGTCCTGAACTTTTGTTTCAGTGGAAAAGACCTCCCGCTGAATCTAAGCAGTAAATTCTGCTGTCTGTAATACCATTACTATGATTGAACAACCTAAACAAGAGGAGTAACAAATAGACTTGATTTCAGCCACATTGAAGAAATCACTCGCTATGGGTAGACTATGGAACGGGACTCATTCCTCAGATGACGTTCCAGAATACGTTCCTCATAGGAAGTTCATTATGACACTATTTGTAGGGGAATTACAGGCATCTGTCTTGGGCTACTGATCAGTTAACTCAGTTTGTACTGGAATTTGATACAAGTTATACATTTCACTTGACTGGCAAGTGATACATTTCACCTTTCATTTATGTTCACTCATAACTGAAAAAGTGATGTCAGATCTGTAGACTGTTCAGGTCTATGATAAAGAGGACTGATGAATGAGGTCTAAAGCTTCCGTTACCATGGAGATAAAGTATCCTTTATCCTATATAGCCATGTATCCTATATACTTAGAACAGTTATTTTTTTCAGCCAATGTATGCAAATAATAAGTGTTTACAATTCTTACTAATGCTTGTTCTCAGGATTTTGATCAGAAGTTGAATTTGTGGGTCATAGTGTATACTGTCTGACGTGATCTCTCTTTCTCTTTATTTGTGAATATAGATCTACAATTATTCATCTTTTTTTCACCTTCAGGCCCTTTAAATATTTAAAATGAGGTCCTTTACCAACGTCATGCTGCATGCGGTGCAAATCATGAGCAGAAGTCAGCACTCTGCACCTTTCAAGCGCTTGAGTGGTGGCAGCGTGGCAATAGCTCCTGATTGCTAATACCCTGTTTGTGCCGTTTCAGAATGGTAATTTGGCAATTTAGCGTAGCCGCAAGCACTCGGCACGCTATAGCGCCCCAGTGAGAGGGAGAAATAAATAGCATAAAATCAAATGAAATAACATGAAATAAAACCTGGAAGAGCCAGTGTTTAAGGCTCATTACTTCTGCACTCCTGCAGAGGCAATGAGGCAAAATAAAATCAGCATCTCTTACACATTCTCTCTCTCTCTCTTGATCCTTTGTTCTTACCAGAGTGATAATATGAGCTCATATCTCAGTCACAAGGCTACCGGAACCGCTGTGAGTGACGTAAGATGCTACAACTCACAAGATCAGGATACATACACTTATGAGAGAGAGGATACAAAGCCCTCTTAGGTTTTTTTCATTCTTCTTCCCAGAAAAAGAAAAAAGAAAAAATTACAGAGAAAAAGACCTTGCATGAAAACAAATAGTAAATTAGTATTTGTTTATTTTTATTATTATTACAAAAGTATATAAGTGCTGTATATGAAATGTGCGGGTATCACCTTCAACTGGGGGGCTTTTTACACCAAATACTATCCCTCTCATACATTTACATATAATTCTAATTCTAAATATATAAATT